TTCGATCCTTGGCAACCAACGCCGTTTCATTGACCACAAACACTGCAAACTGCAGCTTAAGGCTGCTCTGTTGCAAATTGGAGCATGGCTCTCTCGTTCGCGCAGTTAGTAACTGCATTCTATATATCCTGCTCTGCTATTACTCTGAGTTTCTTTTGGATGGACCTACTTAATGTAAAATGATGGTTCTATTTAGTATAAAATGAATGTGCATTTGCTACTATTGCCCGATTAATTATATTCGATTGATACTGTATTCCATAAAGATATAATTTTCTTTTTATTACAGATTTTCTTATTGCAAAATTTTGTATATTACATGATAATGTGTGTTATATTGAAAATATAAATTGTATAATTACAAAAATTAATTAATACATTATTTGTATCAATTTATTATATAATAAGATTATATATATAATATGTATAAAATTTCTTTTTTATATTTTAATTATGATTATTAATACTTTCATATTTTAATTATGATTATTAATACTTGATAATTACTTCATAAATTATAGGCAATACGTAATGCAGAATGATAAGAGATTATCTGTAAGAATGTGATTATAATATACACGTGAAAGAAACCTGGTAAATGCTCTAATAGGAAGCCCATTCAATTTGGAGAGAAAGAATCGATGAAACGACCGCGAAAATTACATGAGAGATAAATTAATTTATTAAAATATTTTATGCAAAAGGATTTATATATATATATATAAATATGCAGATATTTAAATGAAATTGGCTATTTTTAATAATTACGGCATACCAAATTCTACATAATTAATGCAAATAAAATCACGAATAGCAAATGCCACTCGCTTAACTTTAATTTTTCGAACATTCATCTCTGTGCTTTCCGTCATATTTTTTTATATGTTATTAAATGGAAATTGCATATTAAATTCAATTTAATTTGATACCTGATTACCATAATAAATCACTTACGGATTTGTAATAATTTTATAATTTTAATATATAAAGAGAGGACACACAGACACACACATAGTAGAGTAATATACATACATATAGGTATATCTAATAAGTATATAGTAGCGATAATTAATATAAATTCGATAATTCAGATTTCAATTGTTCACGCAATCTATCGATAGATTAATAATAAACTAATTGCACAATTCGGTCCAATCGCGTTATGGATTTCTTCGTATATCATTGTAGATTGTTTATTATTTTTCATTTGCGTTGCAATAATAAGATAAACAAAAAATAATAAAAATAATGAGGGAAGTATATTTCTAAAGTAATAACGTAACGGGAAATGGAATTAAAGAAAGGAGAAAACAATAATAATTAGGATTACTGATGAAATTCCAGCGAAGAGTTTCTCGTTCGCCACAAAGCAAATTGTCTATCGCGTCGCGATCAAGCTGTGATATCGTGCACCGTAATCACGGCGGCGACCATAGAGGCCTAATGGATCTTTTGATCATTGCCACTGGACACGTGACCCGCAAACCGCGCTACGTTACGCCGCATGCAAAATTCAATTCAGCGCCAAGATCGATCGATTTACACGAGAGGACACTGCAGTAATGACTGCACACGTGAACGTACAAAAAGTGTCATAAAAAGAAAAATATCTCAAAATTTTCTCGAAAAGTGGAAAAAATGAATATGCATTGATCTTAAAACGTGTTATCTTTTCGCGATATTTTAGAAAAGCAAAGTATACAAGATAGTTCTCGAAAAATCACACATATATAATTTTAAATTAGATTAAATTAAAAATCTAATTAAATAATTAATAATTGATTAAATCTTATTTACATTTTTTTAAAGTTAAATTTAATTAAATTTCGAAGGATAGATGTTAATCTTCAAAGGGGTCCAAAAGCCTTTCAATTCGGTATGCGTTTAGATCCAATATAAATAAATCCTCTTATCGCATCAAACTCTCGATAACGGGTCTCGGGACGAGCTCATTAAAGCGAAATCTCGCTCGCTTTGGAAGCTTCTGACCACGTGAAAGTCGGCTTCTATTTCAGGGGCCTTTTATATCTTCAATTACGCTTCACCTGTCGTCAGCATCTTGCTGGAAAACGACATTGCGTATCCCGATAGCCAAATAAAGTCTTCGAGCTCTCCTTTCCTTCTTTATCTCTTTTCTATGTCGAGCTTTCACTATAATATCGCTGCAAATGATGACGAATGAATGTCACACGACAATCGCGTCGACGCATATATGACACGATAAGGAAGAAAAACGACGCCGTTCCCGGTGAGAAATCACGATCCTAAACTACCCTTGTGAGAAATTTTGGCTTTCTGTAAATCAAAATAATCGTCGGCGACATAAGACATCCGAATTTGTTCGATTAATCTCGATTGCTTCGTTTAAAATGCCTTGCATGGCGACGACGCTTCGGATTTTTGGTTCATAATTTAATTTGATTTAATTTAACTATAAGCTTAGTCATTTCTAGTTCTATTCTCTACAAAGGCCAAAATAATTATCAGAGAGAAACACGAATGATCCGAATATAAATCACCTCAATCAATACTCTAAACGACAAAAACCACGTATAGGTTTTTCTTCATGGTATTGTAAACTGTGTTCTCATTAGTCTTATCATTAGGACACTCGCTATAGTTGCATGTTGTTTGGAAATCAATACGCATACGAATGTGCGTAAATAATATGTATAGTTTTAGTACATCACGGTTGTACAAATTCTTCGAAATTTGGTCCATTTCCAGAATTGATTTTTTTTAGCCCACTGTGAAATGTTTTTTTTTTTATATCTTTTATATTTCTTGTGTATTTTTATTTATTTTTAAGAAGATTTAATAATTGTGGATTAATTAGGAGAATTATTTTAATCAGAAAAAATGTTTTGTTCACAAAACTAAGACATTGAAAGCGAACGGTTTATATAAGATTCAGCGCTTATGTAAATTAAAACATTCAAATTTAAAATATATATGCGTATATATATGTATATATACAGAAAATCATATATAAAAAAATTTTTTTTTAAATTATTTTCTGTGATATAAGAAAATTTTAATTTTACTTTTTACATACATATACATATTTTTTAACTTTTCTTAACTATTTTTCTTCTAAATAATGGATAGTAAAATTTAATACCAATTAACAGAAATTAAATAATTAATTAGAATTACAACTGGCACTTTGGACACAATAGCTTTTACTCTAAAAAATTTTTTCTGTATTATATTTTTTTGTGTTTCGTAAAATTATACAAATTGTGTGTTTTCAAAAATATTTTCTGTTTCTTCAAATCTAAGAGAATTATTTGGACAATTTTGTGAATTGTATTTCTGACGGATCACTCTCTATGTATATCGCTCAAATGAGAATACATACACACGTGACATAGTTTTGCTCTAAGTTTCCGCTCGCTCGTTTCTGAAGAGAATCGAAATAGCGTGCATTTCAAAATTATCTGGCTAGGGGAATAATGACGTCGGTTGGAGCACTATATAGCGCTCGATATCACGAAGAATAGAAGGGCTTCTTGCTTCAGGCTAGGTTTTGTGGCTGAAGCGACGAACAACCCATGAATCACCTCCATCAACATCGCGAACAGTGATATATCCATCGGCAATCGTCGATTATATCGAGCTCTTTATTAAATTTCTTTCGAGTGAAATATCCTGACTATTCGAACTATTTAATTATTTTTATTAAATTCTACATTTTCACAGAAAGAATCTTTTGAAATTTTAAATATACATGTATATCTACAAATATTAATATTCTACATCTAACGATATTCATATTTTATGTGTGTATAATATTGCAATTTCAGATCCAACATTGATATTGTAAATATATAATGAAATCGAAACTAATGTTTTATAATTTTGAATGTTTAATGACGTTGACGTTAATCTAACAATCTGTCGTTATGATAAAGTTCGGAAACACTGTATAATTAAAAACTAACAATAAGTATTTTTTGACATATATAATAAAATTTTTTTCTCTTTATAATAAAATGCTGATGTATCACAATATACCATAATAACGAATGAAAGGTTGCGCTCATAAAAGGAAATGATTAATGCAATACGCAACATACAGACGCTTTTATTAACCGCTTTCGATTAAAATGGACGAGAAAGATCCGATCAAATGTGTTTTTTTTTTTTTTTTTTTTTTTTAACAAATAGTAAATTGATATCATTATATTTGTCAATCCGCAAAAGCGTTATTCGTGAAATTTGCATCCAGACATTATTTTCAAATATAACGAATATGAATAAAATAAAAGGAAACAAATATAATATAAAACGAAATAAGTAGTAACATAATAAAATGTAATAAAAGATGGAACTAAATATATGAAAACAAAACTGGAACGATTAAAGTTAATTTCATAAAATATAAAATTGAATAATAAAATAGTAAATTTTATGAAACAAAATAAAATAATAAAATATAAAATTTAAACAATGTAAACAAAACGCAAAACGTATTTCTAATTAAATGTATAATTTTGAAATCTTTTCAAGATGAGAGACATTTATGACCAAAAACAGATGATACTATCATGCTTTTTCGTCAAAATAAGTGACGCAGAATGATACAAAATGGATTATTTAAATCAGTTTTGTATTTTATATATTTTCCTCTCGATTGATATCAAAAATACTCTTGAGATCTTTAAACGGCTGAAAAAGCTGCGTAATTATATTAGAGTACAAAGCGACGTTGGAGGACTAGATATTCGTCAAGACGGAAAATATTTCATAAACGTATTACTTTTTCTTCACAGAAATAAAGATATATTTTTATGCAATTTTAAAAAATGCTGTACGTCTTGGATATTATTAGAGAGAAAGAAACAGATTGATGCAAAAGCTTTGTCATATTTGTCAAATAAAATAATTATATTTGTTAAATAAAAGGAGGAAAAATAATAATAGGAGTTTAATATTGAAAAAAAAGGAAAGGCTTGTTGTCAGTATGTTTAATGTAATATAATGTAATTAATATATAGTATAAAAAGCATAAAAGAGGAGGGTGAATAATATATGCTTTATATCTATGTATATTTCATACATTTGAATTGAAGCTTGTGTATAATATTTACAAAATATTTAAAATAATATTTGATTAATAAAAATTAACACCATAATCAAAAACCGATTAAATATCAAACCTTCAAAAATATTCGAATATTCTAAATCGATTCTTCATAAACATTTCTTTTTACCGCAAAATGGAATTAACTTATCGAAAGAAATGGCAATAAAATAACCAATGTGACTTTAAACTCTACTAAAGAATTAAAAGCCGAAGATCTCCGAGGGAAACAGAGATGTTCAGAAAGCCGAGAAAACTTTTGCCGCTATTTCGCACGACGTGCAAAACGTCCGAAACTTTGTCCTAGAAACTTTATAGCGGAGATATACCACTTCGTGATTCTATCGAAACAATGAATAAAATAGAACGAAAGAGAATGTGTGCAAGAAGCGTCACGGGAAATCAGTTGCCGAAAAGTTGCCGCTATCATTTTCTCAGACAAGTCAATGTTGAGATCGACGGGACTTCCTTTCTGTATTCTGTATTTCTACGAAAGCTTAAGAGTTTGAGAATGTTGACAGCGCAAAATGAATAAACTTTGCAACATGTTACAGGGATTGCATGAATAAAAAATTTGCGAGTTCCACGGGGAACAGCGGACAGACTGACGGAGGAATAAGAGTATCGATGGTGGAATATCGATGCGCTGTCTCACGCGTCAAAGATCTCCTAAGGGTATCAGGAGAGGAAGATAGAGGATGAATGGGAGCGTCATTGATACGACGCAGAAGGACTGCATCGGGAAACCCTGTCAAGAGTATCTTGATCCGAATTCTGATCTCGGGATTGGCGTGAAATTCACTACTCTCAGCAATTCAGTACATAGATACATAGTATCATTTATTTAATAGGATGGTATACAATATGAATATAACATTATTTTACTAGATATATAACTTTGGGTATTTATTAATGTATTTTTACTATCATTTCTTTATATTCTCACATAACTATATTTTGTTTTCATTATTTATATATTTTTATTTTTTATTATCTTTATATGACTACTTTCTTTTTAGTAAAAAATATGCTTATTTGATTCGGTTTTTTAATAATGGAATTATGGAAATTGTGAACTCTGTATTATAAATTATGTATGTGATAAATTATTTTTCTCGTGCTTTACCTCATTGTAAAAGGCTGTTTTTCTCTTGCATAACTTCAATCACCTTCATGCATTTAAATTGGCTTCCTGAGCATGTCCACGCATGCTAACATACATGTTCTGCATTCGCAACGGACGTAGAAATCTCACACAGCTTTATCAGTATGTTTGATGACATAAAAATTTCAATGATACTCTCTATGAGGCAGAACATATAATTTTTAATTTATTATTATGACATCCCATAAAAAAAAAAGAACAGCAGAGAGAGAGAGAGAGAGAGAGAGAGTATTTCAAAAATGCAATTCTTTTATGGTAGAATGTTTCTCGAATTTAAAGAATTAATTGTTTTTATTAATGACAATATTGAGTTATTTATTATTTTTGAGTGATTAATGATAAATAACGAGTAAATAACGATCAATTTAAAAAAATATATGGAAAGATTAAAAATTAATTTTTGTTTTAATTAAAGAACTATTAATATATTATTTTTTTACAGAAGAGATAAAATTTTAATTATAATAAATTTCAAGAAAATTGTTAACTAAATTGATTAATTGAAACAAATACTAGAAAAATAATAATTACTAAATTAATCAAAATTTTAAAAATAATTCTGAGATAAATTAGATGAAATGAAAAATAATCTTGTGTTCTAAATTGAAAAAAATAATATTTTAATTTTTTTTTTTTTTTTAAGAGAGAGGAGAAAATGAGCTAATTTCATAAATGTGTGACGAAAGATTAAAAGCATCCATATGCTACGATCAGCAGCTGCGATTTCGTCGCGTCATCGTATTTCCGCTATGCATCTGATTTCCGACATTAATTACTCGACGAAGCATACTACCGTGTCGGGAGATGCGGTCTTTCAAGTTTAATTGTACGAATAATTGGATGCCGTATATACACGACATCGCGTAAAAGCCAATGACAATCGGAGGATTGCACAGAAACGGGACGCGTTCAATCGCGAGAGAGTGGAAGCACTTCTCAACAAAGAAGAGCCTCCTTAACGTAAACTGGAACGCGAAATTATTCTTAAGATGCAGTTAGGTTGCTCGTTAAAGCTTTGCCTCTCGCAATCAGAGTTTTCCTGCGAATTTAGAAACGGGAACGGAACTAGAAATCGATCAATCAGTAATCTATTAGATGTACTGAATCGCACTCGTTAGAGTAAAATTGAAGTACATATATACAGTAACTCGCAAAACATGTTTTAAAATTTTTAGACTTATATTAATTTAGAAGCATATTATTTATATCCATTAACGATATATATAATAGCTATAAAATATTTTTCTATATGTGCTCTTCTTCCATTCATAGAAAAATTTATAGCAATAAAATAAATCTCCTTTTTGCATTCCAAGAAATAATTTATTTTTATTAAATATTGTAATTAAAAAGACTTTTTATATAAATTTTCAGAAAAAGAAACAAAATAAAAATTTTATATTATATTTTGTTTAAAATTTATAACTTTAAAACGAAGCATTGCTGAATATTTTCAAATATTCTGATAAAATATTCTTTTGTTTTATGTTTAGAAAATACTACATCGTGCATCGTGTTTCTAAACCGCTTGTAACGTGTTGCATACATTCGTAAACCAAATATAACTTTTCAGCCCGTCAGTCACGATCGATTTTGTGAAATTTATAACGCGCTCCCGCAAAAGCGAGATGCAAAACTCGTTTTCCAACGTGACGCTGAGTATCAGTTTTGGCATCAAATCCAAAACTGGTGCAAATTGAAATCGTCAGCAAACAAGACACAATCCTGCTTTCGAAGATAGTAACTCGTTTGGATTGAAAGCGTCAGAGTCACTTGGCGTGCTGAAATTTGACATGCTGCCCAGCATAACTCTGGCATAAAATTAAATACGAGATATCGCAATGTGTGATGTTATCATTATAATGTTTTCATCGTCACATAATGTATAACATGTTTCTCTTTATTAATAATGAAGTTTGATTTAAAATTAAATTTAAAATAAAAGTTTTCATCGAATTAATCCACATTTACGTCAATCAAAAATGCATAATGTGAAATCGATATATGTAATTTTCTTGTTATTTAAGATTAAATATCGTTTCGCGAATCGCTATGTGAAAACTCCAGTTATTATTTTGGCGTTTGCAAATACCAAAATTTGAGAGCGACATGAAATTTCTATTTCATCCTATTTGCATTTCCTCCTTGTCCGCTTATAAACGAATGTATGTGGAACTTTGGCATTTCTGTATGTGGAAGTAACTCTGGCATTTCGTACTCTTTTTTGCCATCACAAAACTAAAATTTTCGTGATGTGTGTAATATATATATGTAGAATTAAATATGGCCTTTTAAAAATCAGCATAGCATATTAAAAATTTGTTAAACTTTCGAAAATATTTGTTGGATAGAGGTATAGTGAATTCAAATGAAACATTAAAGATTTGTTGCTTAATGTTTTATCGACTATCAAGTTGTATTTTTATACTTGTCAAAGCTTCGGCGGATCTTTTGATAGTCAACACAGTGAATTCGAGAACGACGCGAAATTTCCATTTTACATTTTGCGTTCGTATTTTCCCATTGCCGCTCATAAATGGACGTCACAGTGTCTGGATGCATTCAAAGTGCGGCAGAATTACGTGTGTGCACGAAGTGCGACGGGCACCGCGTTGCATAAAGAGTATGACACGCGACCTTCCGCGGATATGTAATTTATGAAAATATATAAAACTAGAAAAAAACGCAACACAAGGTCGCGAGTCGCAAGCTTCATCGATCGATCGTGAAAAAAGCGAAGATAACATCGTTCTGACAAAAATAAACCTGAAAGATGTTATTTTTATCAGTAAAAAGAATCACAGTTTTTAATTAAAATTGAATTATTTACTTTGCTGTAATGTAGATCACATTGTATGATAAAATTGAAAACGAAATTACATGAAAAGCAAGGCGCAAAAATTATATTGTAGAAAAGATGCTATTATTATTATTATTTCATAATTAAAATTTTTTTGTTGGATGAAAAGGGAGGATTTGGAAGCTAGTAATAGTGCGCAAGCTGCACAATACGGGGAAGAATGGCGAGGGATTATTTCGGAGTGCTTCCTTCCTCTCGAGAAGCACATTTGTTGTTGGTCGGCCACTCGCCTATACCTTCTTTCGCGCCTTTTACCCTAATTGGACATTCAAGAACAGCACGAGGTTTTCGGGAGCATCTTTCGGGAAGAAACTAATGGCGAGTGCTCTTTTTTCTCTCTTTTCCTCTTTCCTTTTCTTTCATGAAAGTGCCTTTTCGAGATTTAACGACCACGTATCATCTAGCTATTCTAACAACACAATAACAGCCTCGCTATCTTCTCGGATTTTATACATTAGGTTGTTTGGCAAAGAAATATTTGAAAAAAAGATTAAATGATATGACAAACGGCTATTTAAATCTATCGGAATTTTCGTCCAATTATATTGTTTACATAATGTAATTAAAACTGATGCTCTCTCTATTATAATTTTAAAAGTTAATATGAATTTAATAATAAAAAAAGAAATACAAAAATTTAATCGAGGAAGTTTACATAACTTATTAGCTATAAATCTTCTAAATAATGATCGAGAAATTCATCATTTTTTTCTCCCGAACCATTCTTCATGTTCGGTCAAGAAAAATACTAATATCAAGAACTTCTAAAGAATCGTGCATAAATTTAACATTCTATTTATAGATTAAATTTTATTATTACATGATAAAATTATATATTTTTTTATCATTAATAATGATGTATTAAATTTCAATTTAGAACAAAGTTTTAAGCATAGAAAAAATGATGAGAGTATCATCACTGAATAGATCCTTCAGTGTCAGTTTATGAGAAATATTTATGATCTCATCCATCTTGCGAATATATCATAATATTAAACACCAAAATGCACTTGCAGTTTTATAAATAAATTGATCACAAATACATATTTATCAAAATATTAGTCAAAATCCGTTTTTAACTTTATCTAAACTAATTGCAAATATATCGAAATATTAAAAATTAAAATCTCTGCTTATAATTCCATCTATATATCAATCAAAATCTACAGTCTATTAATTTATCTAATTGCAAGTATTTGTCAGTATCCTATAATAATAATTTCTAATAAGACATTGAAAAAGCCACTCACCGATACATCATGCGCTCCTGACGATCGGCCTCTTTATAAATTCTGGAGTACATCGCAATCATGATTATCCCCGGTACCCAGAAACTGACGCTGGAACTAACGATGGCATAGAGCTTGTTGACTTGAAACACACAAACATCCGGATAGGTCCGTCTGTACTCCAAGTGTTCCTTCGTGGTATACCATCCGGCGAAGATCGGTAGGAAGCTCATAACGGTCGGGGAACACCACACGACGCTCAACATGGTTCCCAGCCTAACGTTCGTCATGATTAACGGATAGTCCAGCGGTTGAACGATTGCGTAATATCTATCGACACTAATGCAGCATAAATGAAGAATGCTGACAGTGCTGAAGAAGACATCCAGCGAATTCCATACATCGCACATGAAGTATCCGAATAACCATCGTCCAAAAAGCTCCACGGAAGCGTTGAACGTCATGGCGAACAGCGCGACCAGCATATCCGCCAAGGCCAACGATACCACGAAGTAATTGGTGATTACCCGGAGCTTCCGGTGTCTCATAACCGAGACAATAACCAGTAAATTACCAAAGAGCGCGCAGAGGATGATGAAGCCCATAATGAGACCTTTGATGGTTAATATTAGGATGTACTCGACCTCATAGTAGTTTTTGCTGGTGTTGCGTTGTCCGTGGTCCGTGGTATTATCCAAGTCCTCTTCCAACGTCTCGTTAAATCCCATTTTGACGAGCTGTTTTTTTTTTTCTCGCTTCTCTCAACTGGCTACCGTCGTTCGACGGCTTCTTTTTCGTCTTTTCTCGTTTCTTCTTTGATGTGACGGACGAGAACGGCATGTAATCGGTCCATTTACAAATGTCAGGTTACGATTTTGCCTGAGCGATGTCGTAAATTTCGAGATTTTTCAATTGCAAAATGATTTACTCGGAATATTTTGTAATCCGCCTGTCGATAAAGCCCATTCTGAAGAAATTAAATAAAAACGCATTTTGTGCGTGTATGAGCTCCGTTGAATTACTTGGATTGATATTTGAATACTTGAGTACTTGATTCGAGATTCTAGAAAAGTACTTCGTATATTTTTGAGCTATTCTGATGATTGTCCGTTTAGTCACTTATTTTTTTTTTTGCAATTTTAATTGTAGTTTTATGCAGTTGTGTTGTTAAATCTTGTTCCGGGTAAATTTCGAGCTGACGACGAAATGATATTTTCGAATGCATTTTTCGCAGATTTTGCAGTGTCCTCGCGCAATAATAATCTGCAAACAAAATATACACAAATGTGCATATATAACATGTGTACAACTAAATATAAATAACATAAAACATTTAAAACTATATAAAATTTTATTTTTATATATCTATGTGCAAAAGTATTTTTTATATTTACGGATCTATACTGAAAAGAGAATTATGAAGTAACTTTAGATTAATACTTTTTTAAAAAGTATAATAATAAAAGGTTCTTATTATGTTTTTCATGTGTGAATTTTGAAAGTAAGTTTGAATATCGAGTGAAATAAACGCCCATATTTTTAATTTTCAATTTCTTTTTTTACATTTTAAAGAAACTTTATTTGTCATTTGCAATACGATTTAATTTAATTATTGTAATGCATTAAATGCTAAAAAAACGAGAGAGAGAGATAATTATTTAATTAATAATGGATAAATATTACACTGGTAAAAAGTATTGAATTTTAATAATTTATTATTAAGAAAATATGTTTTTGTTTTTGTACTCTACGCAAAATTAATATAACTTTTCCTATATTTATTAATTGAGATTTAATTAAAGTATCTGTGGGACTAAGATTTTAATCAAAATTATTTTACTAAAGAAAATGCTTGTCCATGTATTTTATATATATATATATATATATATGCGATAATATAACTTTTTATTAAAATTATACTTAATTAAAAATGATTTATTCAAAAGCCTGCGATATTAAAACATTTAATTTTTATATTATTGGAGATATAATACAATCTTCTCTCATTTTTTGCAATATTACGATGTACTTCATCAAAGTTTATTAATTAAAAATTAACAAATGTTTGGGAAAATATTTCAATAATTTTATTGTTGAAAGAATTTATGTACACATACACACCATAGACGTATAATACATAGACTGCGCGTCTCTACATTTTCCGTAGTCAGAATCAGAATGCGTCAAAAAATAGAAAGAGATAGCTGCGATAGTACGATCACCAATCTGTCTTTTTAACGATCTAACGATGCGTGGTGGGGTAAAGAAGCCTTTGTTGACTTGGAAACAGAAAAATAGAGGGGATAAAAAGACGAAGATAGAATGATGATACAAAGCATGCTATCTCTGTCTAATATTTGACGACTCCCACTCCTTAAGACTCGGATATACTATGTCTATGATATACACACATACACATACACATACATATATACAGAGCATGTTATACGCCTCAGAGTTTGATGTTTGTTCTTTATTTACATATGGTTGTATATATACGTATGTCACGCACATACCTATTCACGTGACGTGATTCTAGCGAGAAGGTAATGAAGGTGCGAGATGATCCGTGTGTCGTCGTAATATCTCTTGAGATACGATCGCAATAAATATCGGAAGGAGCTAAACATTTAATATTATAAGTATAGTGCAGTTTCTAACACACAAATTAATATTATTAATAGACAGTAGGTATTAATAGACAGTCAATATATCATTTACATATTAATTACTTGAATCGAATAACCATCATCGCGATACTCTTACGTATCCAACACACAAATTCCGCAAATATACGTATTATTAATAGACAGTCAATATATCATTTACATATTAATTACTTGAATCGAATAACCATCATCGCGATACTCTTACGTATCGTTTATCGCAGGAATTAACTAAATAAACAACCTGATAATCACTAATTGTAATGATAATCCAGAGACACGATCATTCATCGCGAACACCACACACAATTAGAAATTTTCAGTTCGCATGATTAATTAATTTGCACGACTATGATGCGAAATCATGAAGCGTATCGATGATTATTCATCAAAACAATATCTTTTGCGATATATCTCATTTTAAGTAAGAATCAAAATGTGACGGAGAAATTATAAATTTATAATTTGTTAAATTTTAATATATTTGAAAGTTTGAAGTTTAAATTTGAAGTTTCAAATATCATTAATTGCTGTAAATTTGCCAGCAACCAAATTTGATTGAATTTCTTTATCGTAAATATTCCAAATAATTTGGATTATGCAGAGTCAATATTTAGATGTGTTTCAGCATGTGCGAGTACATAATCCGCGTTAAAAGGCCATTGATTTATCGCAGGAATATACTTGTATGTTCTACGCAAAATTGGAATTACACGGGGATCGCGAGAGATGCGCGAGAATAACGAATCGCAACAATACGATCTAATGCTAAAGCAAAATATGTACATTAGGCATAATGAAAATAACAAATGCAAATTAATATGCGGTTGAACATACTGTTCATAGAACAGCTTGTGAAGTTTTATTTTAAACTCGCGATCTAGAATTTAATTATTACGACGTCATCGAAATTACGCCACATGAAAGAAAATTCAATTACCATGAGCGACATATAAATAATATTAACAGTATTAATTCTCGCTTGAACAAGGTATAAATAGTAATGAAATATAAATAACGATAATAAATGTGTAGAATTTAATAAATGAATACTGTAAATATATAACGATAACAAATATAATATTTAATAAACATATGTAAATCGAAATGTTATCAAAAACATGTCACACAAAATTGACATAATTTTTCTCATGTTTAATATTTAATCAGGATATATTTACTTTTTCTCATTTTTCATAAAAGAGATAATCCATAAATTTTCTAGATTTTTTATTCAAGTGTATTAATACACATGCAAATGTTTAAAAAATATTATGATCTTATTGTTAATGTCAACGTCATAATAAAAATTTTATTAACACAATATCTTAATATTTTATTTTTTAGTATATGTGTGTCATATATATTATAATAATTAGCACTTTTTTATTATTAATATTTTCAATTATTAATTTTATTAAAAGTTATTTATCTGAGAGATATAAATTTATGATCTTTTATTTTAGAATTTTGTTATTTTTGATTTTGATTTTTATTTAAAGAACTTTAATCATTTATTATTATTATTATTTTCTAATAATAAATGGGCACTAATTCTAAGACTGACTTTATTTGTTTCGAAAATATAGTTTTATAAATATAAGGTTGTCCATTTTAGTTATACTCTTACCAACTTATAGCTTCATACTTATATGCATCTGTGCTATTTTATATTCACAGAAGATATAAGAAAATAGATCTAAAACGAATGTTCAGTCGATTGAACGCGAGAAAATTCTTTATCATGTAAAATCAATCAGGCTGAATGATAGAAAATGAAAAACGATAGAATAATGTATCACTGACGTTTCTCGTCACATTAAAAAAGTTACGTTTCTAAAAAGCTTGCTTCAATCTATCAGCTCTTCTATTTTCGTACAAGTTAAATTAAAATATCGGATGCAATCTTTTTGCGACCGTAATATGAAATATTTTATTCGATATTTATAGATCCGCTGAATACAGAGTGTCCTAGATTCATAGCTAACTTGTATTTATAGATTCTCTAAATAATTTGTTGATTTATCTGGAATAAAAACATCGATGTAATGCATTAGTAATAAATCTTCTATTTTGAACATCTCAATTATTTTTTTCAATCAATCCAATAGGTAAAACTGTTCTAGTTAAATTTTTTAATTAATCTTTTTGTTGAAAATTTATTACTGAGTAAGAGATAAAGAGAAATAAAAAATTATTTTCTATATATAAATAAAATTTATAATAAATAAAATAAAATTTGATTAAACGATATAATAATTATGAAAAATCCTAGCGTGTATTTCTATCTTTACAAAATTATTCCGAAATAAACTTTGACATTACTTAAATAAAAATGCAAATAAGAAGATGGAATTGAATAGAATGAGCTTTGCTTATGCGAAAGATTAATGTATGTAATATTTTTATTCACGATATATTGTTAAACTAATTATATTCGCGAAATATGAAAAATTAGAAAAAAATTGTCTTGAAAATTTCATCAAAAATCGGCGACGATCTCAATGAAAAAGAAGGAAAATATCCTATAAAAATTTATATACGAACATTTGCGCGCGTTTTATTGTGTCATGAAAATTCTGCAACGACGGAGATGTTGACGCGCGAATAATTTTTCTCACGCGAAAAAAATCGCTCGGCTCTTGTTATTAGTTCGACTAATAATTTCCCGGAACACGAAACGTGTAACATAATTGTTAGCATGGAATAATTACGCAAATCACGGCCGTTTGAATGCAATTTGTGCGCTTAACTACACTTTTTACATTATATCCTGTCCATTAATAATTTTATCACAAAACGATTTTCTCTTCCTCTCCTTCTCTCTTTCTCTCGCATATTTCTAAAATTGTAAAAATTTGTATTGGTTATCTATAATTTTAAATATATTTTAATATATTTCTTTCATTTTTTATGGATAATCTGTTATCAGTTCAAATAATTTTTTATCTTGTGATGAAATATATATTTTAATCTTTGTTGTTTAAAATATAATTTGAAAAATTAATAAAAATTAATCATATTATTTATCATATAAAAAATTATTAATAATTAATATATATTTTAGTATAGCAAGTAATTACTATATAATCACTATATATTCCAATATTTTTAGAAATAAAGATGAAGACTCTACATATATGTTTAGATATTACTATTTTATCGAGCAAGATGCTATGTCGCATCTCTTGAGATATCTAGAAGACTAAGAAGAAAATAACTGGAAAATAAAAGAAGGAGAGTTATTAAGAATCGATAGCTTTGAAGGCACCGTGCACGGCAATTTGAACTGTGAAATACGAAGGTAAAGTGAGGGTACGTTAACGTCGTGAAATCGGCTTACCTCATTTCGCTTTGCTTCGCGTCAGATCAAACGCGTGCATGTTCTACTAGCGCGGCTATAAAGTACCATCGTCGTCACCATCATCATCGCTGTTGTTTTTCGCGTTTGTGCTATGAAATACGAACATTGTTCGCAATACGAGGCGTTGTTCGCGAAGCACGATTTTTGTTTTCATAACGCGATTTTACATAATATTCCGGACTTTTGCATCGAGCAGCGTGAAGAGCGCGCGTGGATTCGCGCCATCTTCGACGCGAACTGCGGTGTCAATTTCAGAACGAATATTGAACAATTGAAAAGGTGGTGCGCAACGTCAAGTTGAATTAACATATAAAAGAATAAAAAATTGAAGTTGAATCAAAATAAAAAGGAATAGAAATATTTTGTTGAGCGTGTGCATCACACGCAAATATAGGATTAATATTATAAATATATGTATATAATCATTTTTCTTTCACTTTTTATTTCCAATTTTATACCATAATTTTATAATTAGTTTTATATATATTTTGGATATTGTAAAGTTGGCTGTGTCTTTTCTCGCGTCGAGTTAAACACATGGATATTTCATTGACGCGATTACAAAACATCGCTACTCCCGCCGTCTTCCGTCATTTCCTTATTTCCGTTGCGAGATATGAAATTCGAGACGTTATTCGCGAATCACGATTTCCGTTTTCGCGACGCGATTTGGCGTAATAGTCCGGACTCTCGCGTCGAGGAACGCACATTCTCGCATCATCGTCGATATGAACTGCTTCATTGATTTTAGAGCGAATGTCGGACGATTTAAAGCTACATGAGATATGGAAAATGTAAATTTAATACCTTTATGTTATATATATAGCTTATAATTATATACATTAATTATTCATTTAAAATAAACAAATAATAGATAGGATTTTTTAAAAATTACAACTCGTTGAACTTTAATTACAATTTGTTATATCTAATTATAGTTTGCTTTATAATTATTAAAGATGTCATAATGCCATAAAAAAATAAGTCGAATAATAATTTTTACAAACTATAATGAGTGTATTAAAAATTATTTCGCCTTTCTGCAATCTGGTTTTATATAATATATAATGTACTATTCGCTGGCGCTATTTTGTTTATATTTGAATGTAAGATTATCTTATGTGAGACAAAAATATCTGAAAAATTTAGGAGGCATTTTACAGTGAATCATGAATGCAAATTTTGCGGATATTTGAATTTGAACCTAGACGAGTTTTAGTTCGTGAAAAACGGCCAATCGCGTGGTACGCAACTTTATTCAAATGACGGTAATAGGATTCGCGAATATGGAAATTTACGACCAAATCTCCGTGTAGAACACGACCGAACTTCTCGTAATAAGAAATCGCGGAAGTGAATAATGCACGATGAAACTTGAAAAGTTTACGTATTTTTAAAGCATGAACTCGTTAGAAAGTCAAAACTGTGTTGTTAAATGGCTTCGTGATATTTCTGTTGGAAAATCATCGAGCACTTGTAATATCACATTTTTCCAGCAACGTATAGATCAGTTAATATAAAGAATATAGTATATGTGAAAGAAAAGCTTAAAATTAATTAAAAATGTGAAAAAAATTATGCATAAATATACTGTGAAATTTTATCGAAATTTTTATTTTTATTAGAATTTTTATAAATATTCTATTATATATGCCCTTAAAAAAATTAAATAACCAAATTTATATATTTATTGATATTTTTAAATTAGCACATTATAAAATTAGAAACTTTATATCGAAAAAAAATAATATACATTTTATATTAATTTTCTATATATATTATATAATAATTATATTATAATAGATAAAATATATGTATTTGCAATTCTTGCCTGTAATAAGATCTGTACAAGGTCATTGGCATCGACTATCGTAATCCTGTTTCGTCTTTTTCTGTAAGTCGAGAAGCTTTACAACGCTAAAATATGTTCTATGCTTAGGGAAAAACTAGCTTCTATTATTACATTTAGTTTGCCATTTACCACAAGCAAACGAGTATTCAAGCGTATATGGTACGTGTATGTTATGTATAACCAGATTACAGAAAGATATCACGATGCCTTTGATAACCACACGACACTGACAACCTTTTGAAAATTTTAAAGGCAAAATAATTTTCTCGAACAATACACGTTATAGCTTAAAAAAATTTTTTTTCGACAATTTTTTAAATAATTTATTAATTTAAAATTATATTAAAAGTAATTTTTATGTAATCTTTTATTAATTAATTTATATGTATTTCTTTACATTGAAATTTATTTTTATGGCATTATAACATTTTTATTAATTATATACCAACTATAATTAAATATTACAAATTATAATTAAAACTTAAACGAGCTGTAATTTTTTTCGAATTCTATCTATAATATGTTTATTTTAAATTAATAATTAATGTATATAATTATAAGCTTTAAAAAAATGTTCTTGAGCGAAAATGACGACATTTTTTTATCTAAAAAATTAAAGATAAAGTTTTATGTTGAATTTAGCCCTGAGTTTATAGATCATATATGAAAGATGGGATTTTTAAATTGGGAAGATGAGTTTTACCGCGCGTTATGAATAATAGCAAACTGGAAGCTGTTTATATTCTCGGCAACTAAAACATAATGGAAATAGATGAGCAATAATGTGTTTCAAGGTAGAGGCAGCTCTCAACATTTATATGTCAGCCACATCGAAAATCGATCGACATGTATAAAACAAACGCGACGCGATTGTTTTAGCCGGCAGAAAATTTTGCCAACTCACGAAATAATTCGACTCATTGCACTTGCGTATTTATTCTGTTACGTATTACGAATACGCATAATGCGTGATCGATGTAATCATGAAAAAAATTTCAATTATTGATACCGGCACAATCGGTTCGAATATTAGCATCAGCTTGTTTTTCACTGTTAGATATAGATTTATCTCATATCACTCTATCCTTTTAAATCTTATATTATGTGTTTTATACGATTACGCTGAATATTAATTCAATAATATTTTTATATATATGGATCCATTATATTCATTGCACTTGTCGAATTAACGTAATAGTCGTCGATAAGACATGTCTGATCGTGCGATTCCAAAGATAAGCAATATACATAAATTAGCTAATGTTAGAGATAAATACCCGAATACACTTGTCATGGAAGACGAATAACATTCGTATTCCATCGATATATTAGCTGCATTAAATATATAGACAATATCTTACCTCAAAATTTTTACAGCTGGTTCTCGTTTCCCGATTTAGCTACTTCCAGCGCGTCTTGCCCACAAGAGAAAATTGATTTACAGTATTTTAGTTCATGACAATTCCACTCGTATAAATAAATAATGTCACTATGTCTTTTACGCTGATTAATCGAGATTCCGGCAGACAAAGACATCTTCCGTTATTATACGTTTGACATTAATCGATTTATTATTTCTTTGTCGTTACATTTATCCCTTCTGATATTTTTTATTTTTAATTATATTTTTATTTAATTACTTATTATCTCTTCATTTATATATATTCGATTTATTTCTTCAATCATTTGATCACATTCTGCTCGCACTGGGTGTATTTGTATGTGTTTATTAAGAAAGTGAAACCTTTTGTCTTTCGATGGAAGGTTAGTGGAAAAGCGAGACATTGTGCGACACAAAGTAAATTTCATTGAGCTTATATTATATTGAATGAGTAGTCAGTATTGTTTGCAAATCGTCTTAGCGGAAATACGCGACTGAGCCGATGAATTAACAGCCTTGCTATTACATAATATACTGTATAAATACTGTTAATTCGTTTTATTTACACAGCTTTATCTATGATTATGAGTAGGATTATGAAATTGCATTGATATCTTCGCTACCAAAAATCATATATTTATAGCATCATGATTGCTTAACAGATTATTTATATATAATAACATCATATATACACCAATTTTCAGTTAAAATTGCAGTATTACATTAATAATCACATTAAGGGCCACACACACGATAATTTTCTTTTACTATTCTGATTTTATATAAAAAAATCTTTTTTAAATTCTGTTTTAGACATGAATGATCAGAAAATAATTTCTCATTTCGATGAATAATATAATCGGAAACTAAGTTTTATTTATATCAGTTTAAAGTTTATACTTTTAAATTACATTAAGAAAAGTAATCTTTTTATCTGTGTTTATGGCCATCTCTTTTTCACAAGTAAATTAGTAGCGAAAATATTAATTATTAATGCCATAAATATTTAAAAAAATTATATCTGCGATTAATTAATCGCATTGTTGCTTTGAATTGAAAATTGAAACGTTAAATGAAATTTGTACACGAAAATATCGGCATATTTCATTATTATGGATAGTAAAGCATAGACAACGTGTCACGTATGATCATATCGATGGTTAGCATAATTACAAAATATATCTATCGAATTCTATTATTACAATATTAATGCCTTTGATCTAAAACAGCCCCCCTTCTCTCAATTAATTTATAATTTATTAAATAAATTTTCCACTAATAGTCCGTCAATATCCATTAAATGACCACAAAGAGCATTTTCAGACGCTTTCTCAGAGCGATAAAATTGAAACGTGCGATCTACATGAATGAACACATAAGATCGCCGATGCGTATTAGAAGTTATCTCCTTTGTAAACATTTAGTGCACCGTCATCTTGAAACTGCACAAAGTCGTACCTCGTCATAGTACTCACACCATCACAAATATCACAGGACACACGTGGTTCACAAAATTAGTAAAGACAGGCTTTCTATCTTCTCGAGTGTCCGCATGTACTTAACACATCGCAGTATGAACAGGATCCTCTTCGTCTTCATCCGTTATCCGTCTTAACTCACATAAGAGGACGTAATATCAATTCCATGCTTGTCAATTTTTTAAGACAAGAAGACGTATTCTATCCAAGTATTGACGGTGCGTAGGATTGAAGGTCACTGATCATTGATCACGAGCAACAAGAAAAGTATATATAAATCATCGATATGATGAAAGCGGTAACGCGCAAAAAACGATTGACAAATTATCCGTTTTGATTAAACAAGAGAGATGTTTTGGCTAAATGGGATGATAATCTTCTCCAGCTTAAATAAATTAAATTTTGCTGGAAATTAATGCGCAAATATCGTGAATGCTGATTATTGGAAATTTGAATAGAAATTGTTACGAATTATTAAATTTCATGAAACTCACTCCAGGGCGTATATGATTATCGCGAAATTAGAATCATCAGTTTTGATTTATCGAACAAGAATATCTCTTCGATACAGTAACTGTTATAGTTTTCACTGGCAATCACATCGTCAATCTATTAATTAAAAAAACGTCTTTAGCATTTCTTTATAATATCCACACGTAAAAAAATGAAGTTTAATTGTCATCATTCGTCTATTAAATATGATATCTTTCGCATTCGGCAAGATAAGGAGCGGAAGATCAGAGTTAGAACGTCAGTCTTAAATACTTCTCGGATTCAGTGACTCATACTGACATCATGATATCCAGGAACAGTATATTGAAATTAGACCATCGTCATTGATCTCTTCAGCGTTGGGATACGTATCTTTGAGTCGATACCTCAATTTATCACTCGGTATTTATCACTGCAGATTCTTTTTACGCGAAAAAGGATTTCGCTTTTACTCTGTAATTCTTCTCGCGATGATGGATAATCAAGGACTCCCATCGCCACGTGTGTTACATCGCGTGTTGTATCTCCAATTTCCGCGAAATATTTATGAGAAAATTCGCATATCCCGGGCTAATGTTTTGCTTACATGACGAGAAGACTCGAGTGTGTCCGGAGAAAACAAAAACGTATTCTGAGCGAGTAATTGAACGACCCGACACATAGTATGTGTGGCTGACACGGCTCGCGAGGCCGCAGTGAACTGTGGGTGGTTGCTTCAGAGGCTTTCCCGCTTTCCACCAGCGACGCACCACCGCGCCACCCTGTCTCTGCGTCTCTCACCCTCGCCCTCTTCGTCCTACATCGAACGGCAGTGCCGCTTCCACCTTCTCGAATCCCTCCGCCGCCACCCTGATCCGCTCTCTCTCTCTCTCTCTCTCTCTTTACCAACGAATTTTCGATCTCACCCTCTTCATCGTACTTCCACCACCCGAACAGAGAAAGGTGGTTTTTCAACGTCCCGCGCCAACGAACGCCCATGTCCGCCACCTCTGCGAGGTCGAGAGTGAATCTAATTCGCTAAAATCGAGACGTCAAGTCTCGGATCAGATATCAGGCGGATATTGCGATTATCAACTATTTTTGGAATATCTATATTAATCCACTAAAAGCCTATTCAATATCCAATTATACAATATGAGATATATCATATTTTAATACAGAATATAAAANTAAGAATTTTTTATTTTGAATTATTAATCGATTTATCAAAAACTGTAATTATAAAGAGAATAGTAAAGAATTTTTTTTAATGATATAAACAAAATATTTTTTATCTAAATTAAATATGAAATACAAATTATATGATTACATTGCTCAGATTTGAAACGTCAACCATAAATATTTTAGCAATAAGATCTTAAAGTAATATTTTTTTAAATTTTCTAAAAATACTAATTAAAAAGTTCTAATTAAATTTAATTCAATAAGATCAGTTATCTTTTTTTGATCAGTTTCTGAATAATTTTTTACAAGTTATTGATCTCTCTCTCTCTCTCTCTTTTCTGTTGGAATTTCTGTGGAAAAAAGCAACTATCTTAATCGATTGACAGCGTGTCCTCGTAATCATGTAAAAATTGATACGCTGCGAAGCGGAATTCATCAACTCCCTGTTGTACCACCTCCCACACATATCTGTCTGTTCATCCTCTTGTCGCACAGATGTATAAGCATATATGTAATATGTAACATGTGTGTATCGAGTACATATGGCAGAACAGAAAAAGTTTAGCGGGATAAAATAAAGTATGACGTGCAGAAGAAACTAGACTGTCCGCTAAATAAAATATCCACATATGTACTGGATGTCAAAAGTCGCATTCCTCTCTTTGATAAATAATAAAAGCCAAAAATAAATCTAAGTAGTAATGTGTGATTAATATAAAATATAATATAATATAACGTAATAATGATTTAAATACACTAAATCTCACTATGTTAACATATAGCATTTTTGGTTGCGCGAATGTAACAGTGTGTTAAAAATTTAATAAATCAAACTGAAACAAGATATTATATTCGTAGCTGTAATCGGTAAATGATTATATATTTAGAGAATTATTTCTCCCTGTTATCATAAAATTCTTTTTTAGATCGTCGCTTTGGCTTCATAAATCTTAACAATTAATCCTAACAATTAATCCGTCTCGCAATTATTAATCATACCAGCCGGCTTGATTTTATTCGTTGTGGTGTGAGTATAAACAATCGATATTTAGCTGTGACGATAATGAGGTTCGTTACTTTCACCAATTAGAAGAGAAGAAAAATATTTTTGTGTCTCGGCAAACTTCTACAAACTACGTGTCTGGAAATAAGAAGTTTCCCGAGAGACGAAAAAATATATATATAAGTATAAATTATTATTAGAGTATATATAATTATTACTGTAATAAAAATATATCATTTGTATATCGTAAAAATAATTTTCAAGTAATCTTTGGAAAAAATAAATTATACATATAGTTGAAATAAGAGAATACAATATTAAATGATAATATGCCAGGGAATTGACGGTAATAATTAAATTTTTTTCCGAAAAATGTATAAATATATTACAAATAAATTATCAGAATTGTTTGGAGAAAAGCATTTGATTATGTTATACATCTATGCTTTAACTCTCATTGATTGTAATTATCATTTGATATCGTTAACATCTAAACTAAAGAGTTGTACTATTGTTAATTTGAAATGGATGCAATTTTAAGATTATCTTTTTGCAAAGTCGAGTTAGCCAACGATTGTAATTCTTATTTGTTAATCTCTATTTTCATTGTCCTCTTTTCTGAACCAAGCAGAACTGGATTTTTTATCTCGACAAAATTTCTTCGTGGAATTACAAGAAAAATGTAACAGAATTCGATGGAAATAAAATCAGAATCTGTATATTTTCTCTCGCTCTGCTTTCTCTGAAATTTGATTCCTTGTGTAGTAAAAAAGAAAAGAAAAACAAATTTTCATTGCAATATGTACACAGCGAATTTATCTCGTAAACTGTACATCTTGTGCAAAACTCTTTGAACATAAATAGATATAAATATACGTAAATACACGATTAAGCGTAGTACTCTTTATCAATGCAATTGTAAACTAATAATATTAATAATACGTTCGCAATAAACGAAGTTTATTAATAACGAATTATTTATTTGCAAGAATATTTCGTTCATTAAATAACAATTCAACACGCGATTTTATAAACATGTTACAAATAAACACGCATCAATATAATTTTGATGCAACATTAAAATTGTAAATTATTTGTAAATTACACCAATCGCAAATAATTAAACGATTCAAATGACAAATAATTTGGTGCCTCTCGAGTATCGCTATAATTTCATTGAAATTATTGAAAATAGCATGTAAAATAAAACTTTATATACTTCTCTCTTTCTCTTGAATATTTTTTTAATATAATAAAAATATAAAATATGGTCAACGTTTTTTACATTTTTATTCAATATAT